TTTGTCCACATCGCATATCTTATCAAATCAAATTACAGAGACTAGTTTGTTACCTTGTATTTTAGACACCTGAATCGGCTTCCCGTTCAAAAATGCGCCCCGTCCTTTTCTAGCCGTAAATAGCTGCTCGAGAATTGGATTGTACACAATACCAAGGACCATTTCTTTTTTAACGGCCAAACCGATGACCACACATGTGTGCGGGAATCCGTGGATGAAGTTGGTGGTTCCATCGATGGGATCTATGATCCACGTAGGAGCTTCAGTTAATTCTGGTAGGTCTTTGCCAGTCGATTCCTCTGCGATAAACCTGATCGTATAGTTGGATTAATTTTCCGTACTCGTGTATTATATCCTTTTTATCAAACGATACGGCGTTATCTGAGAAATGTCCACTACCTGTGATTTGGAAATGCTCGTTTGAGTCCGCCGATTATTATATTCTCTATCTGTCGGTCGTACTCGGTGACGAGGTCCCAATCGCCCAATTTCTCTTTGATATGTTTGAAACCGTTGATGGAATCTCGCAAAATCTTAAGCAATACTTAATATTTAATACGTCTTACAAAATCATTGAAAGATCGTCGAATACACAAAAGATAAAGAATGAGATAAATAAAACGATTATTATGTTCGATTATTATGTGAGATAAATGTTCTTTCCACATTTTGAAAACGTACAATTTATACTAGAGATGCGTATGATTGTGCAAAGATTTATGCTAGAGATCGCTTGATTTATGGTATTTCACAATTTGTACGGCGAATTCCATTTTCCTGTTTGAATACGGAAAAATTATTCACGGCGCAGAATAGATTCGTTTATCGCTCTAATCATTAGAAAATTTGAAAGGATTATTGCATCGCTAATAGGTTACAACATCATTAGGATCTTCTCTTTATTTTCTTTAATTCAACTTTTGAGAAATGACAAATAATTATTAGTTAAATAACCTTTGATATTTACTGTTTTTGATAAAATTATACGGTGTAGATCGATTTTACCGCTCGCAGAATGAATAAAAATTCATGAAAACTGACTAGGAATTGATTTCTGATTTTATAAAAGTTTTATTATAATGTTACGGAGATGACGAAAGAATAGGATGACAAACAACATAAATTTGTAAAATATTCTAGATGTAGATAGTTATCTACATATAGATGTCTAGACATATAGATATTTACATATAGATGTCTAGGCATCTCTTTATGATACGTAAGATACTCGGCTCTTAAAATTATCTAAAAGAAGATTTCACATCTGACATTATAAAAATGTCACATTTTTTCCGTTCGCGTCATCCTCAAATATGTAACTATGGAAGCATATATTATAAAGCAATGTTTTCCTAATGTCGTACCGGTTGACAGGCGATCATCTCAACGATATTGTTTAATATGTATTTTTAGTTTATTGATGCTTTGTTCGATGATCACGTGGAACATTCATTCTAGCTGAAGATGAGATTGTGCTTGCGATGTATGCTCACCTGGGCAGCCTCGCGCGTCACTTTAATAGCAGTTTCGTAGTACACGTCCTCGGTGTATCGTGCCATTTCTGTACAACCTGGTGAACGCGCGGCACAAACGTGCGTCTGTTTCGAACCTCGTCAGCAAAAGGCGCGAGCTAGCACTGTGTTACCCGTGTCTGCACCTTCTTTTTCACTCGGATTGGTTGCGCCTGCAGCAGTAGGTACGATCCGAGTACAACGATCGGCGCATTCTATCGGGTTTTTACCTCCTCGAGAGCTTTAACTCCATGAAAATCCCTTTAAAGGTTATAAATTTTTAACTGCTGCTACTCATCAACAGAAGAAAGTATTTGATAAATGCAAATTACTAATTTAGCCTATTCGTTATATGCATATGATATCTTTGATTGCAGTATTATGATCTAAATCCTTTAATCAACATGTCACGTTGATCTTTACAATGATGAGCTAATAAAACTGGATATAAATAATGCAGTATAAGAGGTGATGTCTATTCAAGACTATACTTGTCTTGTCTACTTTGTGAGATAACAATAATGCCATTCTAAAATAGACCTTGATTTTATATTCCGTCTGAGATATACTTAATTGCACGCACCTGCCATTCACCACAATGATATGAGATACCTCCCGACGACGCGATTGTTTTGTAAAGAGGATGGAATGATCAACGCTATCTCGCTGGTTTATTTCCCATACGATGTTTAAAGCCTCTTTCTAAACGATTTAAAAAATTACGAATTTTTAATAATACTATCCTTCGCAGTGATCCAGGAGATATCTCAAATAGTACGTCAGCTATTGTGCGTGTATTCACTTGTGATGATAGATAGCGATATAATGTCGTAATAAGATATGCAAATTTTGCGTTAATTGCCACGATAGGAACTGCAGGTGTTGCAAGTTTCGCGTCCTCGAGCGGTTTAGTGGTCAGACATAAATTATAATATAAAGTTTAAATTCAGTCTATTTCTGATTGCGTGATTTACTTGACTCAATCGTAAAACATTTGTAATAATTTACAAGATATAAAGCCCATAGCACATATAAAAACGTAAGGCAGTAAGACGTAAGCAATAAGGAAATCGTAACAGTGGATTCGCTACTGACCTTACGGTCTCTACTGTGATTGGTCAATTTGCTTACTGCTTACATCTTACTACTTTACGTTTTTGTATGTGCTATAGCTTAAGCTTACTTAAACTTATATTTGCTTTGCAATATATGTATCTGTTTTAACTTATGGCTTGTTTGTAATGTTTGTTTCATTAATGTCGTGATTATTCTGAGTTTACTAGAAAAATAAGGATTACTCTAGTAAAAAATATGTATTTCTAGCAAATCTGAAATATTGCTTGGAAGCAGAATCTCTCGAGAGACTTGATTTATAATTATGTTAATTTTTTGCTTGACTTATTAATATACACAACGTTGTTGATTACATAAATATTTTCTGAGTTGATATTATTGGAAATTATCTTTAGAATTTTATTATTATTTTACAATATTTTTCTGATTCGTGATTTCTGTCATTTCCTACATTTATTGTTTATGATTTTCTGCTTGCAGCTTACACATTTGTGTTGCGCAAGTACTTAATGTTCCCTAATGATTGACTCAATCTCTGTTCTGACTACATCTATGTTTCTATTTGCTTCAATACTCTTTTGCAAATATTTTTCATTCTAATTAAAATATTGAAACGTATTTATCTTTTATCAGAGAACTAAATCGAAATCCAGCATTGGCGTTTATTGGAATCAACACTTTTTTTACATTTTTTTTTCTTGACATACATTGTGACATAATAATGCTTATTTATTTATCCATTGCAATAGCTTAAAAAAAGGCGCACATCGCAGAATTCAATGATGCATTTGAAGGAGTAACCATTCAAATTATGTATATTATATATCGAAAATATCATGTACATTGAGATCATCTATTGCAATGAAAGAAATAGAAGGCAATTCATAACACGCGGACAGCAGCCATGAATATTCATCGTATACAATAAATAAAAGAATTATCGGGAAAGATTTTTTTCAAGACATCGATAATTAATTTTATTACCTTATCTTCTAATGTCAACATCTTATAAGACAGATGGCGTACAGAAATCCACTAAATTATTTTAATTTTTAATTCAATATTGTGATGTTTTCATAATGGAATAATTATTATGTTAATCAATCTATTAATTAAAAAATCGATAATAAATAGTATTAATTCAAAAATTAGAAATCTTACCAAATGTGTTAGAAAACTATTTTAAAAAAGTTTTACTTAATGGAAGAATAATTTAAGTGTCGATTTGGTGATGAATTACATGATAATTATTTAAATTAATATCTACCGCAAATCTCATACTAGTGGGAATAAATAAGTGTAAATGTGTGCATTATAATTTTTTTCACTAAGAAATAAGTGGTCTTGGATAACATGATCATTTATTATTATAGCCGCCTACAAGTTATGTTTCTTCTTTCAGTTTTTGAATAAATAATTCTATTTATATACTGACATCTTAATAATCTTTATAACAGAACACATTAAAGCAATCCTTTTTTCTAATATTACATTTTATATATCCTATCAGTAGATACAATACTAATATTAGTACAATACTAACACATTACCATGTTTACTAAATATCATAAACTTTAATTGTAAACGGTGTAATCTAAAATTTTAACACGAAAAATAATATCGATAATATCATGGAATAGTTGTTTTAATTGCATTTTACATAAAATGCAGTTTCGGGGAATAAATTATATCCTCAATAATAATAATATGAATTATTAGGCCGGTCGAAGCTAGATCTTAATTGCTTATTAAATAATTCAAATGTGAATTATATATATACTATATATGTACTTACATATATACCATATTTGTAATATTATTCACTACGCGCCGAAATTTCTCCGGACTTTTACAAACGCAGCTAAACTACTGAAATAATATCACAAATTAAATTTTGATGCTCAATAGACATTTTTATTCAAAAGATCTTAACATAGTAATAAATTTTATTATTGTGTGTAAAATATGTATATTATTATATTATCAATATCTTCGTACCACGTTAATATATATGATGAATGTTAAAATTTTATAATGAATTTGACAATAAATTGCTTTAAGTAAGCTTTGCAATAATTTTAATTTTATTCGTAACAACAACGGGAAAATTGATCCAGAGGAAAATTAATTATGCTAATTCTCATTTTACAACATTGCATATTGGTTAACACATTCGAATTGATCTCGTAGATATGACATCTGTAAGTGCGTCAATAGGACTTTTTAACAGAAACTTCTTTAGACTGATTTTTATAGACAATTTCCTTGTATTACATGATAAATATATGTTCGCTGCTGGAACACACCTTCTTCTTTTATACACTCAGCTTTTGAATGAATTAGCGTGAGTTATTTTTTGCCTTACGTCAGGTTCTTTTTGTTCTTTTCTTTCGTTTTTAAATCAGTATCAACGATTATTTTAGATACTTCTCGTGCTAAAGTTTCATTTGCCGCTGCAATAGTATTTGCCTTCATAATATCATAAGCACCACCTGTGAAGATGATTATAATAATTAATTTTGCAGTAATCGGACATCATCTACTTTTGCGTTTACTCCTTTTATTTAAGATCTTGTATTATTCCATAAGAAATCGCTGCTTCAAGTCTGATTTTAATCCTGCGCCTAATTCTGATAACGAAATCTAAAATTTCCGACTGTGATTATATAAAATAATTGTTTTTTTATTCATCATAATGAAAGTATTTCAATATGAATATATTTATCTATAATTGCTTTGCAAGTCAATTTTCTGAGTTTCAGTTTTGTTAATATTCTCTTCTTTTAGACAATAAATTAAATATTAGATATTTTAGGTAAATTTTTTAGAGAAAATTTTTTTTTACTATATTCGTGATTCATATCGCGACAGAAAATTTGTAAAATTTAGCCATATGTGTGTTTATTAATTTATTGTTTGCGTTATCGTACCATTTGAGTCAATAACAGTTCCACCCGCTTCGAGTATAAGCAGCATTCCTGATGCTACATCCCAAGGTTTAAGAAGCTTATCAATGGCGAAGATATCCAGAGTGCTATGTACGCCAGGCCCAGTGCAGCTGATCCAATATTTCTATTTCTGAATTGATAGAAAACGCATAGAAAGGATCTTTTTAGAATAATAGATATATAACACAGACTCTAGATATACATCACGGCTAGGTAAATACACATTACGTAAGTGAAAAAGACCATTCGGTCAAGGCGATTCTTCATACCTAATCATTTCTCTGTGAATTTATACAACTTCCAATTCAAGTTAACTGTACACCGATTATTTGTCGGTCTTGAATATATAATTATGTTTTACTTACGTCTGCGTCGCCTCGATTAAAGCGATTGCCCTGGTTACATCTTTGTCCGTTTTCACTTGTTTTATAACTGGCACATTGATCGCTATCATTGCTTGTTTTAGATCTGCAAAATATTTGAAGCAATGAGTATGCATTTCTTACAGGTGCACTTAGTGGCTTTCCCATCCGTCGCGGAATTATTACGGTTCTTCCCCCCGAATGAATCAACTGTGTGATTAACATAGGTAATCCAGAGCTTGCTGTTAAAAATAAATTGTTATTGAATCGAACATATATTTAATACAGAGTTTGCAAAATGGGAAAATACACAATGGAAATCAATTATGATGGATTGCAAAGATTGTGCAAATCGTATAGAATAATTACAAAATGATAATTGCAAAATGAAAAATGTAGCATTCTGAAATCTTTAACAATTGTTGTGAAAACTCGGCGAAAATTAATATTTTAAAAAATATAATATTGATAGTATCGCTTGTGCATTACCAGTGATGTTAGAGACGTGAATCGGCTTTCCATTAAGAAAAACGCCTTTGCCTTTTATCGCACTGTAGAACTCTGAGTTCGATGGATTGTAGATAATGCCTAAAACAAGCACTTTGGAAACCATCAAAGCTATGCTTATGCTGAAATAAGGAAACGAATGCATAAAATTGATGGTTCCATCAAGTGGATCGAGGAACCATGTTGGTGCGTCTGTCAATTCTGGCATTTTTTGCATTGCGGCTACCGTTTCTTCCGCGATAATCCTAAAATAGGAGATATAATATTTTAGCGAAATATTTAATTCCTTAGGTATTAATTGCAAATTAATAAAACATAATACGATCTTACGATACATATTATAGAATTAATTATTAAATTAAATTTAAGTTTGATTGTCTAATGATTTCCAGTTAATTTTTATGCGATTATAATTCAACTCACTTGTGATCAGGAAATTCTTTGGATAAGCCATCAATAAATATTTTTTCAATTTGCTGATCATAATTGGTTACAAAATCCCCTTTATTTTTGTTATATATAATTTTTTCGTCCTTGCCACATTTAAGTATCTATGCGGATAAATAATGCAAAATATATGATCATATAAATTATATGTGAAGAAGGAAGAAAGTTGGAAAATATTTAGGAAGATATATAAAATATTTGGCTAAAAATTGAGAACGAATGAGACTCGTGTACTGAGATTTTTTAATTATCTTCGGGAGATTTATGTGAAATATTAAATATTTATTCTGTTCTAATGATTTCATAAGTCGAATTTTTTTATCTTTAATCTTTATTACAATGCACAATGTAACAAAGTTGCAAAGTTTGACGAGAAAAAATATAAGCGAGATAGATAACAAGTGATGAAGCACAAAATTGTTGCTATAAAACGTACCAGTAGATAGAATTTAAGAATTTAACAAGTGAGCAAGAGAAAAGACATTACATGAGCATACGTACAACACACGAGAATTCACGTATAATAGTCACAGCATACTATCCACATACACACACAATCTACAACCCAAAGCTGAAGATGCAAAATGGGATTTTAGCTAAGCTGAGACAAAATGAGTGATGCGATAAACTGAACAGCTGTGATACAAAAGGAACAAAATTTTTTTATAAGTGCATTGTTTAAAATTATTAGCAAGGTAGCAAGCTATGTCATTTTGTCGTCATTTTAACATCAAAAGAATTCATTTTGACATAAGTTTGTTACCAGAGATAATTATGAGAGTAATTTTGTCAAAACCTATAATAATTCAAAATGTTTAGATGCCGTTTTATGAATGTTTTATAAGAATTATTTCAGGTTGTATCTTTATAAATCTTCTCACTTATTTATTTACATATGTATAATATACGTAATACAACTTTATCATTCAATTTTATCTCCCAAAATTGTGCAATCCTTCCGCTTATGCATGAGCTGTGACTCACCTTGCCAGCTTGCAATGTGAGTTCTTTCACGAAATCAAAACACTTCGCGATGTCCAGATCGCACGACATGATTGCCGATGTCGAGAAACGTGTCAGTACGGCTAATCGAATCCTCGTACTAACCGTTATAAATGAGAACTTATGCCTTACAAGTGCTCTTATCTCTGTAATTAATGATAGCGCAAATAACGCAGAGTTAAATATCAACATTCGAGAAAATTCGTGCGCGTATATTTTGTGCTAACTGACAGCTTGTTATAATTTATAAAAGACAGTAAAAGGCTTTCTAGAAACTTGAAGTTGATTCGTTAATATTAACGAATACATTGGCTACCAATGCTGGATCAATATTGGCTATATATGAATGTAGGCCAATATTTAACGAATACGTGTAAAATTGGCGTACATTTGAAGTCGCCTTTACATGCGTGTCATGATTTAATCATAAATAACAATATTAAGTAAGATGGGTGAGGTAAGATGAGGAAAAGGAATTCAACTCGTGGAATTTCATTAATTATATTACGAGCACAGACAAAGCAGTAGCTATCGAGCGCTCGTTGGAACAAGTATTTGAAATTTATGAATCGCTTACAAATTAAGAAACGTTAAGAAATCTTTTATATGAATAAAATAGTTCTTTCTTAAATACAACTAATTTTTAATACTACTACGTTACACATTAAACATTTCTACTTTAATTATACACGAATTATACCAATATATTTACTATGCATTTACGCCAGATAATTATATACGATATGTGTAAAATATTGTTTATCAATTTATGTATTTGAGATATTAGGAAATAAAGCGTAAATAATGTTACTTACTATTCAGTAACGTGCATATATATTTTTTTAATTCTGAAATAATTATATCATTATACTTTGATCAATATGAGAGAAATAGTCGAAGGTATATTTAATGTTATATTATTTGTATCTCGATCACTATACCGCCAGCCTCTTTGATTATAAGATTATAAACACCTGCAGCGACATCCCAGGGTATTAAGTTGTCAGAATGATATCCTTCAACAACTCCCATGGCAGTGTGACACTCAACGCTGCTGAAATTATTCCATGTGCTATCGAGACGAGAGCTTCTAATCTTCCTAAAATGATATTGCGAATATTCTTGATAGTCGCATATGAAGTTTTTAAGCATTGTAAAGAATGTTCAAGTCCTGGGAAAAGTAGAATAATATTATTATCGTTACGATATATATTGATTTATTTTCTGTGAAAGTCAAGAATTATAATAAAGATAAAATAAAAATAAAAAACTGTATAAATATATTGGACACGAAAATTAAAGTTAAGAAAACATTTATTGAAATATATACAGGCATACGCACGCTTATTTGATAGAGAATGCAAACATTTTGTCTTTGTTGCGAAAAATTACAAAACGAAAGAAAAAAAAGAGCGGAAATGATTAATGAAAAATAAAAAATGATACTTTACCTTCTATGCTCGAGCTCTTAATTAGTTTTTCATTGAAATACGTTCCATGGCCTTTTATGGCTGTAAATGAGTGTTCTAAAATGGGATTATAAATTATTCCAATCTCGAGTTCCTTATTCACAGCTAATGCAATTTTATGGAAAAGAATGTATAAAGTTCATTGTTCCATCAATGAAATCAATAATCCATATAGGTGCATTCGTAAGTTCTGGCAGATAATTGGAATAAATATTGTTTCTTCTTCAATAAATCTAACAAACATTCCAAAAATTTTTGTAAAAAGGTATTACATGAATAGTAATTTATTATGTAATTATGCTTTATTATTATAATATGTACACAAACATTAATTTATTCAATTTCATCAAATTTAAAAATTTATGTGTAGGAAATTTTTTTACTAAATTATCGATTAAAATCGCTTTGACTTTTTGATTGTATTGCGTCACTAAATCCCACACAATTTCCAGCTGTTGTTTCAATGCTCTCAGATTCTTGAAAAACATCACAAATCACCTGAAAATAATATTGCACATGTTTTAACGTTATTTCTGTAAAAACAGTAAGTGAAGTAATTTATTGACTGTTTTTTAAATATACAATTCATCAATTGTAATTTGTCTGACAACTTGTGAAATGAACCTTCAGAAATAATATGATATCTAACTAATTTTATTGCGCCTTGGAATATAATGAATTTTAATCAGTGAAGTTACATTAAAGACAATCTTTTATGTCTGGCAATCGATAATCTTTCCAATCATATGCAATTACAGAATATACATCCTATAAGTATAAAACATCTCTATAAATAGACGTTCTATATATAACGAAAAAAGAATTAAACATTTTTATTGAAAAATAATATTTATTTTTTTAATTTTAATATCTCAGTTTTCCTTAGGCTTTTATTATCACCTTTTCGAAAAAAATGCAACAAATTGATGATGCTTTACACAGTAAAAAAATTTGTGTATTTGTGTTGGAAACGGTCCACTCACGTTTGTGTTAACAGTTGTGTTAAATTTTTTAACATATTCGAGTGTTAATTTAACATAATGTGATTATTTAAAGATTTTTTGTGAAATTAATATTCAATGTTTCTTAGAGTCAAAATGACACAATTTATGAGTTAGTGAACAAGTAACTAATAAAAATAATGTTTTAAAATGTAAATTCTAAGACAAATGAATAAAATACATTTATGATATATTAATTTAAAAAAAAAACATGCTTCCACAGTTTATTTACAAACTGTGTCGATATTAAATACCTTTTTGGTATTCTTTTGCATAATATTTGTGTAACCTTCGGACATATTCATTTTATGTTCAATTAAAACTAAAATTTTGAGTGGTCCGTTTGGAACATGCCATTTATGTTAAATTCAATACATTTTTTCCAACTGTGTATGCTTATCTTTGGCTGTTTTCCTTTTAGAAGACACAGTCGACACAAGCCAACACAAGTGTCGTTCTATCTTTGTCTCTGAATGTCAAGGATAGAATGACGCTTATGTCGACTTGTGTCGATTTGTGTCATCAAATGGAAAGCAGTGTTTATCTCATTCTGCTCTATTTTTAAATAATTCTGATTTTTTTTTTCATGCAAAACGATTATCAGTAGCAGATATCAACTTCAAAGAGCCAAGTCAGTATTCTTAGTAAATTACAAGATGATAGTGTCATATTTACCTTTCCAAATTTTATCGTAAGATCTAAGACAAAGTCGTAGCAGTAACAGAGCTTCTCTTGAATAGACTTTTTTGTTAACCCGAATCCGAAATATCCCTCTTCTTTTACAAGTTTACGAATAACGTATCGCGATAGTATGCTCGCGATCGGCATTTAGGCTGCGTGCGGGTTGGTGAAGTAAGGGGCAGGAACCAAGCTGAAAAAAATCGGCCGAAATGTTCAACTAAATTCCAGCTCTGATTTAAAGTATTCCGCCTGGATTTTGCGAAAGTGTTCTTATGATTTGTCATCCCCACTATGAACTCGCGTTCACTTAACTTAATAGAAATATCGAATCCTCTCGAGTTCTTTTCCATTCTCTCTGCGATATGTTATGTCTGAAGAGAATTAAAGTTTTTATTACTAAATCCTATCACAGAAAAGTTTATCCTGGTAATGCTGTGACACGTTAATGTACAGATGAATGACAGCAATACAGCTTCGTAATATCTTTACCGTAACCCTATATTCTTAACTATAAAAAAAAACGATATTGCATAATATTTTAAAATTATTCGTTGCAGCTGTCGATGATCTTTTTCTAAATTTACGCTACGTTGCATTCGAGTGTTAAATTAGTATATCGAAGACATGTGTTCGAAAAGATAAAGAATATTTTTTGTACATATTTATCACATCACGTTTGGACATTTATGCAATAAAGAAAGTTTGGTGTAAAATATAGCCAAAATGCGTTAATTAAATTTTGTAGCGATTCGAAGGCACCAATTCGAAAATGAACGAACCTCGTTCATCATAGGAAATGTTTTGCAGGATAAATGGAAAGATATATAATCATTGTCAGAATTAAAAAGTATACGTGTTTGTAAAAACATTTTTACAGACACAATTATAAAAAATTTTAGAATTTTATAATTGTAGTGAAATCGTTACGTACTAAAAACATTAAATAAGCGTACTAGGATCAGATTTTAATTAAAATTTAATATACAGTTTTTATTATTATCGCAACAAAAAATATTGAAAAAATAAGATTATAAAGCAAGATTTTTTAAAAATTAAATAAAATTTCCTATTGATGAGTTGTCTTATTGAAAATGGAGGAAATTAAAAGGATTACAAAAAATCTTTATTTTTATCAAACGTTTCTATTATTGCAAGCTTATTGCACAATAATCTGCAAATAAAGTATTATTATATATTGTTTTGTTTATCAATTAATGCTTGCGATAGCTTGTGGTAGCATGTCTCAGGAACATTTAGTTTGCAACGTGAACAAGACGTGAGAGCTTAACTTGTACATGCGAATATAATTCGATTAAATAAATACATTTTAATTTATGTGCGCCACACGCAATCCTATCAGGTCTTACATGACTATGACATTTCTCTTGCACCTGATCCTATCGTTTACATGCAACTTTTATCAGTGTGATGAAATTAACCGTTACTGCCATTGTTGATTGAAACTGTATAACGGGTTAATCATCACGATATAAACCGCACACGATGAACAATGCAATGTCGATAGGACCTATATTGTTTTTGCAGATTTTTATCTGTGTTAACTTTATCTACCTCTGCAATTTTTGCAAGCATTAGAAATATGATTGTTACACGCAGTCTTTATTTAGCTCTTTTGTTTTTTTGTATTTTATTAAAAATATTTTGCCCATATCTGCATATTTTGTGTCATCACACATATCCAAATGTGTGATGTCTCTAGTATATATTTATACCGAGACTCTCTCTCTCTCTCTCTCTCTCTCTCTCTCTCTCTCTCTCTCTCTACCGTGTCTTCAGATTAAAATATATTAAAGAGAAAATTGTGAATTAATTACCTAAAAATTTACATTTGATTTCCACAAAAATATTCTTGATTATAAATATTGACTTATATGGGATTTTCTCTTTTCTTACAGAATCAAGGTGGCCCAGTTGTACCTACCTCTCAAGGTCCCGGAGGAACAATGGTACCTGG